TTTTACTCAAGTACGGAAAGTGAGTACTTTTGCCATCTCTGGCATATACACACCAGGAACCTGGAAACTTAAAAAATACTGAAATACAAAAAAACATTTAAAAAACAAACATGTTTCATTGATATATATACAAAAATGAATATTAGGAACTATATTTATCAAGTAAAAATTGTTTCTGGGCAAATGAAATGTGGCAAGTGGTAAAATTCCTTAACGTCAACCCCTGCTTTAAAATATATTTGGGTTCTGATTTGATTAGAAATGATTCAACAAACCGATTTCATTCTTATCAAACTGCCATGATGCTGAAATGTTTGCTGACTGATTGTTTGCATGTTTATTAACATTGAATGAATCTATGTGTGCTGTAGCTCAGGTTTATTTTAGTGCAGATTTATTGAAGTGTAGACGGCTAACTGGAACCAAAAACCATAAAAAGACGTTAGTTGGAGATTTTGATGGAAAGTGAAGGTACCAACTAAAATCTGATGTGCACACTGATATCATGGTGCTCTCAGCCCGCTCAATAGGCAGGATTAAGAGCGGCTTCAGCGTGATTTTTGGATTATTGCAGCATAACATCAGGATTAGATTTTCTGGATGAAATGGGATAAATAAGCGGTAGGACGTTCCAACAGACCAGGGAATTCCTCGAGGACGGGATGCTGATATGTTTGCTCCTCTCTTTCTTCTCCTTTTCTCCAGACCTCCCAAGTTTCTCTGACCCCCACATTCCTCTAGTGGCTCGTGAGATCATGCAGCGAATGATCCACCAGTTCGCTGCCGAATATACCTCAAAAACTACTCAGGAAGACCTGCCCCTGCCCAACGGCACCATGAAGGACCAAAGCCTGTCGAGAGCGGTGTCTCTGGCCCCGGCCCCGAGCTCCCCGGTCGGGCCCACGCCCAGCTCCCCTCCATCGTCTGCCTCCTCCTCTCCGTCCCCGACTCCGGGAGCCGGCTTTAGCCCCACCTCCGCTGCTATCACCTCAGCGCCCACCGGCATCCAGAGCAGCAACGGGACAGGAGTTGGCATCATCGGAGGAGGAGGAGGTACGGCTGCTGCCTCTGCACAGAACCCGGTCCTCAGCAAGCTTCTCATGGCGGACCAGGACGGGCCGCTGGACCTCACCGTCAGAAAGGCCCAGGCGGATCAGGAGCCCAGCCAGCAGGGTGAGAGAAACATGTTTCCTCCTAGAATATCTGATCCAGCATCTGCACCCATGCAAAGTCATTTCTATTTACCTTCATGAAGCGTTTATTCAAATCAGCACATTAACAGATCAGCCCAAAAAGGTTTTTATCTGCTGTTAAAGCGAGGTAGTTCTGAGGGCTCAGCGTGTTTAATCAAAGCAAAGCAGCAGGGGGTCCGCAGTCAGAGCGTCGCACCAAATTCAGCCTGGCAGCAGCAGCAGCTCTCCCTCCGCCCTCCGCCGCAGTGGGACCGGTCATACACTTTAATACGGGCTTTTCTGAATCTGCTTACAGTAAGCCTCCTTCATTTTTACAACAAAAGATAAATTTGCTGTACATCTCGTCGTGCATCTCTCTCCGTCACACACACACACGAGTTCAGAATCACTTTTTGAGGATTTCTGGCTCAGATTATCCTCAAATCGTACACATACACTGCATTCCTATAAAACAATGTTCACAGGCGGAGTAAAGCTTTGTTTTAGCTCTAGGGATCATTAACCCATCTGGGCTGTGTAGCTGCTGCTCGTTACTCCAACCAAAATAAACAAATCCACCAGTCCTTCTATACTCAGACCGTCAGAACCAGGACATTTGTTTCTGGCCCATATTAGGAAGCCTTCATCCTGATAGGTCGTAAGGATGGGCATTAATTCACAGCCTGCTGCTGCTGACAATGTTTCATGCAGGAAGCAATCAGTGGTCAGCAGAAGCAGCTCAGAACCACAGAGATAACTACGGATATGGTGCAAAAATGTCATTTTGTTTTTTTACAAAGATAAGCTCTTATAGGAGCCAGTTGGTGAAGTTTCAACAGCATAAACTATGGTGGTCCACAGGTGCAAACGAGCTGCAAAAACTCCAAAACATGCAAACGCAAAAAACATCGACAAAAAATACTGCAACAAAACAAATGCAAATAAAACATTCTGCAAGCAAAAATTATGAAAATATAGATGAAGATTCTCAGTCATTCAGGTCATTGTCATTCCGTAAAAGTAAAAAAAAAATTAAAAAAAATCTGAGGTGGCGAAACGTCTTCAAATCTTGGAAACCAAGTCCAGTGGATTTTTCTTTCTTTTTTTTTTTGATTTTTTTTTGTTATTGAACTTTTACGGCATGAAATATAGAAAGAAAATGATGCTAATAGACCGTTAGAGGGCGTCTAACAAAGAAAAAATCATATAACAATTTATTTATTTTTTTTTTTTACTCCTAGACATTTGAGTTAAATTAACCCTAAAACATTGTTTTTATTTATTTACTGATTCTTTCCCAACCCTATATCCACCTTTTTTAACTTTACAAAGTTGATCTTTTTTGGACAGATTTCAAGCTGCTACCTCTGTGTTAAATTTCTGGAACCACAACGCTATCACTGCAAACTAAAAGAACAAATATAGATTTTAATTTAGAGAGCAACAAAAAAAAATCAAATAAAATAAACACGAAATTAATTTTTTAAATCAACAATTATTGTACCCTGAATTTGTGATAGGAATGTTGCACTCGCTGCCATAGGGATGGAATTCTTTTGTAGCTTTACTTATGCCGTACTTATGCAGCCTTAGCTCCTATCATGAGCACATACTCATTGAAAAAATAAAATCTTTTCAAAGGAATGCACTTCTGTTTTCAGTCGGATACCTGTAAACATGTTGCAGACTGAGCTTACAAACCACAGCGTGTTTACACAGACCTGCACACATCCCCAGCATGCGCGTGGAGCTGAGGCGGCGCACGCTGCGGCTGCTCCGCTTCACAGGAGAGACGTTTTCAGAGGGAGTTCTCTCACTTAGAGGCTGTAAACCAGCTGTTTCCGTGCATCCCTCAAATTCTTTTAATGAACTTATAAACATGTTCACATAACCACACATGTGCGGATGCTAAACACATGCATGTGCTCACCTGTGCTGCCTAGCTCCAGGCCATTTCTCCCATTGGTGGAAGAGCCATCTGATCAATCAGCCGCTCTGCTTGATGCACAGCCGTCAGAGCCGAGAACGTCTGGTGGAAATCTCAACCCAAAAGAGCATGTTAAATGTTCTGCACTATTAAGATGTTGAACTAAAGAAAGAAACTGAGACTTTAGCTATCTGAGCTGCAG